CATGAGTATCATTGCGGTGCAAGTGTTGCTCGGCTTCTCCCATTCGAAGACATTATTCCTTCGGGTTTCTAGGAATACACTTCCTCCCGCGAGCGAGGAACCTTTGAGGGTACCTGGAAGATAAGTTTGCTCTTGAAGGGACCTGTGAGGCGCCAGGTCAGTGTCAGGTTGACTCTTGGGCGGTTGACTATCAGCAACCTTTAGCTTTGGAGCGATGACCTTGGTGCTTGACCCTCCGGGAAAGAATCCTTGGCCTCAGAGGGGCATTTGGAATGAGGAGTTTCGTGACAGCTTCACTCACAACCAATTATGCGACTATGCAGTCGAACTAGCACGTTGGCCAAGTAGAGAGATCTACAGGAACTGAGCCACCCCAAATAAGCTGCTGCTGTTTTCCTGCAGCATGTCCTGTAACCGAACCCGTTGAAAGCTCCAAAGGTCGATTTGCATCGAGGGCCAAATCTAAAGCTCGAGTCCTGAACCTCCGAAGCCGCCATCGGAACTCGCAAACGAAAAAGCATGGAATCAATGATCACCTGCCTGGTCGATTGGATTCCATTTTAGTGGGGACCGTTTCTGTTTGGGCTGATGCGGATTCAATTGTATGGATCCAAGCAGGCTCCTGCTTGATTCTTCTCCCTCCCTTCGCGGACAGAGTCAATCTATAGTGGCTCTGAGTTTCCACACTCTGTAGATCTCTTGAGTTAAGCAATGGGTCCTTCGGCGAACTCTGGCGTTCCCATTGCAGCCCCCTGAGGAGTCAGATCCTCGTTTTACTTTTCAATTCGTATTTGTCGCATACAGTGCCACGGATGCATGTACACTTACTCAGGATCGGCTGCTTGAAGAAGTTTTGTCCAGACCAGAATGACTAACATTCTTGGCACAGACGCTTTTGTTCGGGCTGAGGAGTGGCATGGGCAACGATCAGATGCCCCTTGGCTGGCAGCAGCAATCCCCGCAGCAATCGCAGCCGCAGCAACAGCAACAGCAGCAACAATTGCCGCAGCAGTTGCCGCAGCAGCAATCGCTGCAACCACAGCCGCAGCAGCAACCGCCGCAGCAGCAGCAGCCGCAGCAGCAGTCGCCGCAGCAGCAATCGCAGCGGCAGCAGCAATCGACGCAGCAATCGCAGCAGCAGCAGCAATCGCAGCAGCAGCAATCGCAGCAATCGCAGCAGCAGCAGCAGCAGCAGCAGCAGCAGCAGCAGCAGCAGCAGCAGCAGCAGCAGCAGCAGCAGCAGCAGCAGCAGCAATCGCAGCAGCAGCAGCAATCGCAGCAGCAATCTCAGCAGTGGGAAGCGCTGCAACAGCAGCAGCAGGCGCAGCAGCAATCTCCGCCGCCACCGCCGCCGCCGCAGCAGTTGCAGCCAGAGGCTCAGGGTTCTGCCAACATGTTGTCACAATTCTGCATCGCGGGCATGCTCCGTGAAGGGGGGGGGGGTTGCGACCTTTCCCTGACGAAGGTTCCTCCTAGCGCGCTCCCTGATTTGAGGTGTGTACACTATTGGCGCAGACATTATATATATATATATATATATGCTCCCCCCGCGGGACCCACCCTGCACCTTCAGGATGCAGATCAGACCGGTCTTTCAGCAACTGCAATTTTTCCTTATGCATTCAAAGAGCAACTATTGACATTGGAAGTTGAAATTGAGAATCGACTTCAATTTCAAAAGCTTAATTGCCCTTATCTAAGTCCAGGTAGTTAACTATGCACGAACTGAGCCAATCACAGGAACGTGTTTCAATCACCGTGGATCTGCTCTTTGGCAAACATGCAACAAAATGCGATAGTTTCAGCACGTGTGTCAGATCATCTTTCCTCCCTGCAAAAAAGGTCATGCTGTGCAGTGCATGTCATTTTTCCCCTCACACATGAGGGTCAAGCGGGGCATCTAAAAGTGTTTTGGGCTGGACCCAAGATCCAAGGTTGTGCACTGGTGCGGGTATATTTGTTTGCACTTGTGACTTTATCACTGTTCTCAGTCATGGTACGTGCAGGAATCCTTGCAACCAGCTCAGTGAGGGGACCCCATGATTGGATTGATCAAGAATCCGTGGAAGGCCCTTCCTCACAATCAGGAAAACGGAGGTGTGCGGCACGAGCCGCGCGAGTTGTTTGAATCGCCCAGAGGGAGCGCTGGCACCTTTGCGACATTTCCATGTTTGCACCAATCTTTGCAGCACACACTCCCTCTCTGCTTGAACATAGAAACCCGAAAGCTTTCAGCCAGTTGCCATATTGCTGGTGGGACCGTTGCCCCCTTTGGGGAGTAAATCAAAAAGGCACACCGCGCTGTTGCTTTTTGCAATCCATACTGTCTCTCTGAGCATATCTCACAAGAGCAGCAAATCGTAGCGCACTCCCTGTTGCGCTGGGGAGCGTACCCACAAAAGCTGTGCGAGCGATGTTCCACATTGCACGGAATATGGAGAAGAAGAACGGGCATTACAAGCGAACTGGAAGTGACCAATGCAAAGACTCCATGATTGTTCTGGTGCCTTGAAGCAGCCCCGAAGCAAAAGCAGTCAGGTTCAATGAAAGAGCCTTCCATCCAAGCTGTTGGCCTGACACAGCATGAACCGGGAAATGATGGGCGTCTTGCGCACCAGGCTTCGCCCGGGGAGAGCTTGGCCTGTGCAATTTTGTAAGGTCAAAAACAGGGGTCGCGGTTTCTTTCCCTATAAAGCCAGTTTAAGGCTCGCCTTTTGGTCGACATGTCTGATTTGCTTGTGAGGTGATGTTTAGTTAATTAGGGGTAAGTATAGGCATCCCTGACAAAGCTTGGCTTCCTGATCTACAGAAAGCGTTTTTGGGATGTGTTGGGTTGAACGTGCTTGAGGCATTTGGATGTCCAGAGGAGGTTTGCCTGAATTGCTGGGTGTCCTATCAGAACTGGGGACAGTTGGCAATCTCTCCCGTCATCGATGAGCGGTTGCACCACAAGATTGCAGAACTTCATATCATTTGCGACTAGTTGCCTGAAAACAAAGGAGAACCGGGCATGTTCATGGTATCTATAGACATGTTCAGGGTTGCAGAGTTTGCCCTCGGGTGCGCATGTTCGGCATCGACCGTCGTTCTGCCTTGAGGTCAGCGCAGGCGGCCAATCGGCAAAACCAAGGCAGGCGGATTTGTCGGTTAAACGTTCCTGAGGAGTCTTATTGAAGAGCCAAGGATGTCTTCTGGTGTCAATCAGTTGCACGCAGATTTGCGGCAAACAGCTTCAAGAGCCTTTGCATTTTGACCTCGTTGATCGGAGCCTGCTGGAAGCAACCTTTGGTTTTCATGCTTACCTGGAAGGAAAGGGGAAGCAACCCACCCGATCTTCCGTGGACCTCTGTTTAGCGTAGGGATCAATTTGTGAGGCACAGGTGCCTCGGGTGCCGATGGCGAGCAAGGCTGGGTGTGCGGGGAGGGTGCGCGTTGCACAGCCCTCACTTCCCATTTGGGCTATACAGGTGCTACTCTTTGACGCGGCAATCTTGGTAGGGAGCTGCTGGAGAGTGCAACGGAACATTGTGCAGCGTGGTGTTGTAGGGTGCTATGGATAATTGCATGAGGTGCTGTTGCGGGGTGCTGTTAAAGGGTGCTGCTCGAATGGTTTCAGGGTACTGCAGGGGACTGTTAAAGGGTGCTGAATGATGCAGTGTGACAGGACTTTTTCGCAGTGCAGTTTCAGGGTGCAGTTGGATGCTGTGTTGGGGTACTGTTGCAGGGTGCTGTCACATCTGTCAGTGTCCCGTAGGGCTGTGTGAGGTGAATGCTTGTGCAATTTTACCCAACATTTGCTACAGAAACTGAACGACATCCATCCAATGGCTTTTCCGCGATTCAGGCAGTTGTGAAGATCATGGGCCGTGGACCACCGGGGAATCCTTTCTGGGACGAGTTGACACAGGGACCGACATGAAGACAACCAGATGGAGGGGTCCCCAGTTAGACACGTTCCCGCTCACCCAAAGGGTTTATGGCCAGTTGACCATTTTGGATATTTTTGGAGCCATGGTGTCATTCAGGGTTAACAATTGTTTGGAAGCAAACCAAGCTCGAGCTGGGAACCTTAGTTTTGACAGGTGGGTCTGTCACGAATCCTTACATCCACCGGTTGCGTTTCCCGTCCCCTCGGCTCCATTACCCCGCTGGCTCAGGACGAGCTTCAGGCGGCTTGGGGGGAGCTCAAGTGGAGCAATTGTGGGAAATGGCGCATATAGTTCAGCCAGTCAAGCACCCTCACATACGCACACAGAGAGACTGCACATCATTCCGTGAATACCTGGGCCGTTTGCATGGAGGTGTTTGGAACACGCCAATAAAGTCAACTCAGAGGAGAGTGACCTCCTTAGACATGTGGGTGTTTCCAAACCGGGGGTCGCCAAACATCGTAGGCTGCCTTATGTTTATGCTTCCAAAAGTCGGCCCAATTCAGGGGCCGCGTGCTTGTGTGAAAGTTCCAGCTTGGGGTAGTGATCGTCGAGCACTCGCTGGAGAAGGGAATGCAAAGGGAAGCCACTGCCTGAGGAATTCGGAGTTTGGAAATCGGATATTAGAAAACAGTCACTCCGAACAAGATTCCTCTGACTGCTTGTCATTTTCTAGCAGTTGTCCCAGCTCACTTTCCAGTACTATTCGAAAGCTACTCAATATAGCTATTCGTCTCCACCTCTTGTGTTGCTCCATGTCCCCACGTCTGCACATCAGCTGATCCCGATTTGAATTCGCAAGTTAGTTTGACTGCACGAATCGGACCCACTGTTCTGTAGTTGCTGCTTCAGGACAAAATACCAGCAAGGACATGCATTGTGGGACTGGATCTTCCATGGTTGCCAAAGGTGTGACGCTCGGTTGGTACTGCTCCCAAACTTGCGCTCAGGGTGTACATTTGCTCCCAGAGGATTAAAGAAAAAAACAAACGACAAACAAAAACAAACAAAAACCAGCACGAGTTTGAGCCAAAGCTTCCCAGGGCGATTCTGCCCGCGAGCGGCAAAGGCAAGCGCGACAAGCGGAGCCGCAAGAATGCGAAGACCCTTGCCCGCGAGACCGGCGGAGCAGGAGGCGGATGAACTGAAGGGAGTGGGTCAAACATAGGTACACAAAATGGCTTGCCCTTGTAAGTGGAACCAAAAAGTAAAACCTGCGGTTGGTGGTTTGATTTTGACCCATACCCAACTGAAGGGTAGAATGAGGGTTTTACAAGGGCAGGAGTCGGCAGGGCGAAGTTTCGCTTGGAAAGCTTGGGAGAAGCTACTGTAGGGCTTAATTGTGAGCGGGATATCAATTGCTTGTCCGCGGTTGCTACCACATCAAGAAACAGCAATGGTTTTATGGTTTTATCCATGGCCACTCCCCAACACAAGTTATCTAGCACCCTTAAAAGGCGGTTTTGACACGCTGGACCCTTCTATCATCAGGAAAGCGCAATCGAGCTGCCAAGGGTAATCCAAGTTCCTCGGAAGACAAACAGCAGCCACTATTGTGGCAGTTTGTGCAGGTACCGCATCACCATAGATTTTAGGCCACGGATAAACGGATAAACTTTGTGTCATTGTCTCAAGCTCGGTTAGAATTTAGGGCTTGTGCTAGCCATTTTCGCAGGCGGTTCCGGTGCATGTTTTCTGTTCATGAAAGGCCTGGAGCAGGCTTCAGGGCTGCTGAGCTCTTGAAAGAACACGATCTCACCTGTTGCAAGGCTGCAGTAAAGAGAGAACGCTCAGCAAGCTGTGACACGCAATGTCCGGTCCTTGACTCTGTCGTTGTATCTTGCAGTTGCTTTTCTTGTTCAGCAGAGTCTCGATCAAGCTGATTGGCCTTCGGAACTTCACCGCCCTCAGTTGCAATGGTTCGCGGCGCCATGGCCCATGGACAGGTCAACGGAACGGCCAACGTTGCCACCTGCCCTTGGGGCAGTGCCTGGGGCAGTGGTGGCGGTGTGCAAGATGCCTTCACCCTCGCAGAGATGAGGGCCGCAGCCAAGCGAGGCACTGCGCCCGCGGCTCCGGCTCCGGCTCCGGTTCCCGGAGAGGTGGATGAGCTGGCAACGGCTCGCTCGAATCGCTCGGATGTGACTGCGCTCACCTCGGTGTCAAAGGCTTCAAGGGCCTCAAGGGCTTCGGCGGTCAAGTCGGTCAAGGCCCCAGACATGGAAGCCAAGATGATGGAATTGATCGCCAAATGCGTGGAGAAGAAGGTGGAAGAGCTGACGGAGACCACGAAGCCAGCAAAGTCACCAGTGTCGACGCTGTCGCCCGTGTCGCCCGGGCTCAAAGAGCTGAGGACCTCACGGTCTGCGCTGAGCGCGCGGTCGGTCTCTGAAGCTTCCTCTATGGCACCCTCCTGGGTGGAGCTGGAAGAGAACTTGAGAGCTGTGCAGCCAGAAAAGGTGACCATGGCGGGCAAGAAGAAGAAAGCCGAGAAGCTTTCGGATGCCTCGCTCGGCAGGTTTGATGCCGACGCGTCGCGCCTGGCGTACCTGGAGATGCAGAAGAGCGCTGCGGCGGCGCGCAACAAGAACCGCTCGGCCCTGACCTTTGACGACGAGCCTGAACAGAAACCTAAGGTGGAGAAGCCCGAGAAGACGTCAGAGAAGTCCGAGAAGAAGGGCTATCCAGCACTGCTCACCGCAGAGGCTGAGCCCGTGAGCATGTATGGCAAGCAGAAGCGCAAGGAGAAGCTCTCTGATGCCCAGCTGGGCAAGTTCGACAAGGACAAGTCCAGGGATGCCTATTTGGTCATGCAGCAAGAAGCCGAGCAGATGAGGAACAAGCACCGCGTGGGGCAGGGCATCTTCTAGGCCGCTGAGCCTTCGGAAAGTCTTTCAGGCCTTGGATCGTTTCATTTGAACCTCACTGTCAATGGCACTGCCAGGCAGGAACGTTCGGCTCGCCCACAAGGCATGAATGTGGCCAAATCGGACGAGAGGACATCGCTGACTTTTTTTTTCCAGGGGCCTGACAGGCTCCTGTCAGCTTGTATAGAACGCTTCAGACATTGGACATCGGTGGCAAGTTCGCATCTTGCAGCATTAGCTGTGCGAGCTGCAACCTCCTACAAATGGAGGCGGCTGATGCGCGGAGCCAGGTCAGAGGATGTGGTTCTGTGCCCTGCGCAGCAATGAGCTTGCCAGCCAAACTGTGGTTCAGAAAAGCGAGATCTCGCTCATTTGAAAGAGAAGTGGCCAGCCCCCCACCTGCCCAGTGGTGCTCTTTTCCCTCCTGGGCTACCTGGCAGGGGTTTCCCTAAAAGCCAAGTCTCAAATAGGACTGCGATGATAGGGAATCCCTAGGAGACCTGGCCCGAAAAAAAAAACCAACCAATACCTTCATTATTCTTTTCGTATTTTGTTTTTTCCGCATGCTGAAAGAGACCTTGCTTTTTTTTGTTTGTCTTCTTTCTTGTCAACCAACACCTTTCTTTTGCTGTGCTGAAGATGAAATCGTAGGCATCAAGGCCCGGAGGTCGCTTCGGGTCGGCCAGGCGCCGGGACGAGCCCCGGCGCTTCCAGCGGAAGCGGCGGCTGCGGCGTGGGCGTGGCCTGTGGCTGCGCCTCGAGTCGAGTGGAACTCGTGGGGCGAGTCCTGGTCATGCCGTGGGTACCAACCATCTTAGTGCGATAGGCAGGGAATGAGGGAATGATTTCAAGGAAGACCATTCCTTGTGGTTTCCTTTTAGGGGACCGATTCCTGGGTTCATTGCCTCATTCCCTAGTGAGCACCAGCAAGCTATTTCAGGCTGAATGGATTCGGGCCCTCAGAGGGCGGCGCCTCCTTTGGTTTTCCCTTTCAACGCTGAAAGAGTAGACGCCAAACAGAAAACAAATGACCCTTTCTTCGAATGGGAGTATTCCAATTAGGAAGGCTATATACATGTTGACCTATGCAAGCACGTAGGCACAGGGGTGCGTCTTCCGGTGAGGACTCATTGCTTCTGGTGCACCTAATATGCCGATTCGATCCTGGTTTTCATTCATTGCCAGCGTTGAGTATGGACAATAGGCTAAAAAGGAATTGTCAGGTTGGTCAAGATGAGCTGTGTGAAAGCCCACCCTGCTCCAGAAGTGTATCATCATACTTCCCTGCATCTGATCATGGAAGCGACACAGAGGGTCCCCCAGAAGGAGTGTCCTCTAACAAATATGCTGGAAACAAACAATGGTGAGGCGCAAAGTCATTCCCCAGACATTTGGCAAATTCCTCAAGGGAGTCGTATTCAGTTTCCATGATCGTTTTCGGGAGCGCCTGACTTCGATGACTTCGGGAGCCCAGGCCAGCCCATGTGTGGGGGCTGTGGCATGTGTGGCTGCGGCGGCTGCGGAATGTGCGGCTGCGGGCCGTTTCCCCAGGGCTGCGGCGGTTGCATGTGCCCTGGATGGCGTTGGGCCGTACGCTTGGTGTCCGGAGTCAGTGGGTGAAATCCGCGCACGCATGGCTGCAAACCATGAAGCATGTTTTTAGAATCCAATGGGCCACTAAGTAATCAGGATGGGTGGATGAGCAGAGGTCCAAGCCTCAAGCAGCGATTGGGCTGGGCATGAATGAGATGCTGTAAACAAATCGGCAGATAGTGGCGGTAATTTGGGAGGGCTACCAGGTGCTACCAACAAATACTGTTACATAGACTGAGGCGCGCATGCCGAAATTGGAACCTCTTTGCATTCTCGCGTGATTGGGCGAAAAAAGGCTGTGCAAATGATTGTGGCTTCATTGATTAACGTTTCCTTGCAAGCAAACGCCAAGGGACTCTTTCCAATCTCGAGACATTCCCATGCCATTGGAGTGAACGAAAGCAAGCTGCGCATGTGACATGTCCGATGCAAGCGCAGTATTGTGCCTGGGAACACGCCTTGTTAAAAAAAGAAAAAGAAAAAAGGAAAAAACAAAACTAACTTGGGCACTTGCCAGAGACTGGAGATGCCTGGCCCACCCCAAATCTCTCATTATCCTTGACGAACACCCCGCGCTTGGGACGCAAGATGGAGCGCCACCCTGCGCGATATGATGGCTTCGGATTGGAGCCTGCAACCAGTTCCTGGAACGGGCGCCGTTGCCCGTGGACCATTTCATCACTTTGCTAGGCGAGCTGCCATTTTTTGGGGCATTTGACTAGAAAGCCCCACTTGTCCCTCCTCCACTAGCAAAGACGCTCAAAAGAAACAACAAGTTTTGAGATGGTTTCGTCACAAGCCATCATTGTGACCCCCGCGTATTCGGGGCAAGATGGAGTTCGGGTTCCTCCACCTCCGTGCTTTCCAAATGGGCCGTTCGACGCCAGGTGTGCTCCGTCGAGTCCCAGCGACGCAGCGCTACCCCGGCCGGAAGGCGGCTTATCCGGCAGATTTGGCAGACAGGTTTGCGCTTTTGATGGGGAACTAGGTGGGAGAGTCTGAGAATTGAGGGAGGACTTGCGTCGCCATTTTTGCAAGTTGGGGGCTTGCAAGCATGTTGGGTAACATGGAGCATGCGCCAAAGCTCGGAGAATACTTTGAGGCACAGCTTGAAAGGTGGGGGACCATTTCTCGCACAACCGGGATGCAGGTCAATTCAACTTTCCTTCTGGGAGCAGCAATCTGCGGACTTGCCCAAAAACCAGACTCAGTCGTTTTAGGGCCTTTGCCCTGCTTACCAAGTTGGGTGGACCAGTGCGGACTTAGATTCGGCAATCACCAGCACCCCGGCAAGCAGGCAACGCCTGCGGAGGATGTTGTGGATGTGGAGCGTGTACAGGCCTGGCTTGAGATGTCAGGCTGTTGAGCTGAAGATGCGAAGCCCAGCTTTTGCGAGGGTCGGCTCAGTATTGTTGGCCCTTGTTGGCCCTTGGTAGCCCTTGTTGGCCCAAACTTGCACCAATCTGGTATCGTTCCGCACGGCGTTTGACTCAAGCTATTGGCTGCACTGTGGAAAGCCCCTTGTGAGTTTGAGATTTGTGGAGAAGCGCGAGCAAAGCCCAGCTGCTGTTGCCTTGGACACCGTGACTACGTGCACCAGTGATCTCAACACTGAGCATGCTTTTGGCATGACGCAGAAAGTGCAGGGTGCAAAAACTAAGTCAACATTGCCTCCAGCATGTCTGCTTCGGCATTTGTCAGCAAGGAGGGCATGCTCAGGGTCGCAACTATTGCAGGGCACCTCAACAAGACTTGCCCAAGAGAAACGAGCTTGAAGTTGGTGTGGCTTGGCAGGGTGACTGGATAGGAATCGATTGTTTACTAGACCCCAGGGATTTGACGATACAGCCATCAGAGACCTGGGTCCAGGATTGAGCAAGCATAGTGTACCATGGCTTGCCTCTAAATGAAGATCTAAGAAAGCTTATTCATACATTTGCTTTCGTAGTAAACACCCCGAAAATAGTGTCCCTCAAGAGGGAATCAAAGGGCACATGCTGGATTAGGAGATTTGAATTTTGTTGGAAGGGGTGGTCGACCTACCCCTGCCCTGGTGCAATTGCCATCATTGGAAGAATAAAACGCTGTGACACTGCTTCCCAGCTGGGGGGTAGACCTTCATCATCCGTCAAAGGCTTCAAACGAAAAAAGACCCGTGTTGAATCTTGGTGGCCTGGTGTGTTCTTGCAAGTCTGGTTGGGTCTGATTCTAGGCGGAACACATGACCTTGCACTTGGTTAAAACGACCCCTGAACATCCTTCCCTCTCGACCATGAATAATTAGCATACTTAATACCCTGTCAGGATCCAGATATTCCGACACATGCATATGAGCAGATTATAGCAGCCTCACAAAGGGGGGTTGCGACCTGAATCATGCTGACGGTCTCTTTCACTGGGATCTGTAATTTGGGGAGGATACACTATTGCCTTTTTTGGGTGCTTCACTGCTGCCTTGGGTACCTTCGTCTATGCACCTTGGCAGGTTGTAGCGGGAGCTGTTCCGGCTGCGGAGGCTGCTGCGGCTGTGGCTGCTGCGGCCCTTGTGGCTGTGGTGGCTGCGGAGGAAACTGTGGCGGCTGCGGAAACTGTGGCGGCTGTGGATGTGGTGCTTCGGACGAGACATCAGACGGAGGGGGCGCCTTTGTAAGCTCAGACCAACAGGCGACCAAAGAGGGTCAGAGGGGTGGGATACAAAATGCCAGTCTGTAAGCTGAGCACCATCGACGCACAGACAATCTCACCATACCAGCACCCTTCTGTGGCAGTGACAGTCTTGAGCTGCGACCTTTGGGTACTTCCTTTGGAAGGCTGTACTGCATCCCACATGCTTCTTCCTTCAGGGCATGGCCTGCGTTTTGGTGGGTGTGCTCTTGCGTGCGGCAGGGTTTTTATACGGTGGATTGTGGTTGTGTGGCCTCAGAAAGAAAGGTGTACAAACAGGTATCACATCACAGCCTTCAGGCCAGCACCAGTTGCCAGAGCAGGGCCGAGTTACAGTTGGCTCGCTCGATACATGTTGCTCTCCCGTCAGAATACGTTGACAGATTTAGTTGCCCACAAGAAGATAATTGTAAACGCGTGTTGCCCGCCTCGGCCAGCCGAGCGCGCAGCGTTTGTGGTTCGACTGCAAGCAGCAGAGCTGGTCAAGTGGCGATTCAGGCATGGACAGGTCTGGCTCCCCGAGGCAAGGGCAAGGCGATGCACAGGACCAGGAGTGAGTCATGGAGCCAGCAGACAGGGCGGGCTGCTGGGCCTTGTCTCAAATATTAGCCGGACTGCGCTGCTGGTTGGCGGGGGCTGGGCCTTGGTTGGGTGGGTTGTTGGTTGGGGAGGTCATGCTTTTCGGCAAAAGACTATTTTGGGTGAGTTTTGCAACAAAAAATTGCCCATTCTGGACCTCGACGAACACCGAAAATTTCAAGGCCCGCCGGACAGGATCTTAGGGCCAGCAGACATGGGTGAGGCGGGGTGGGGGGGACGGCCACAGTTGGGGAAGGGGAAAGCGAAGATTCCCTTTGGGCAACGAGATCGAGCGCCCTTCAACCCGAGGCGAATTTATGATTCCGTCCCAGAATGCCGCGGAGAGAACTGCTTCGATTTATCACCGCCAGACAACACACTATTCGATAATAAATGCAGCGCAGAAAGCTTCTTCTCTTTGGTAGGTTCAGCTTCAACAGCCATGCTTCTTTGCCTCTGCGCGCAGTTCGCGCAGGAGCTTTTGGCTGAGTAAGTGACTGTTCGGGGACATTCGCCCGCTGGGTCCGGTTTTGAGTGGAGTGTGCTCGCACGTTGATCTTCGAGGCATCCAATCCTTCATCGCGCACCAAGAGCAACGTTTGCCGAACACTGGACAAACTACTAGCATTCTTGATCGGAGCTTGAGGCTCTGGAAAACTTTGAGCTGATGGCACTCTGCACGGTGTTGAGCGGGTGCACTTCCCATTTGGCAGGCGTGGAGACAGTGCTGAGCTGGTGCGCTTGAGTGGGCGCTCTTGTCATTTGGTAGGCGTGGGTGCAGTGTTCGGTGGGTGTGCTTATCACTTGGCAAGCATGGACGCAGCGCTGATCAGGTGCTTTTGAGCAGGAATGCTGATCATTTGGTAGG